TTTTTGGTGTTTCCATCTGGTGAAATCCATGTCGTCTTGTGTATATCCTTGTGTTTGAAAACACTGCCACCAATCACCAAATCATTGAAGGCGCAGAAGTCTGAGAAGAGTTCACCATTGTCGTTCATTTCGCCGAGGGCCTCACGACCCATGGTGAGTTCTCTTCCTGTGTTGTCTCATCCCAGCTTCGCATTCATGTCGCCCATCAGGATTTTGATATCGCCATTTGGGACGTTGTCCATTATTGCTTGTAGTTGTCTGTAGAACGCCTCCTTCTTCTCTTGTTCTGAGACGTTTGTAGGCGCATAGCATTGAATGACTGTAACTTTCCTTCCCCTTTTGAGTTGAACCTGGCTGTCATTATCCTGGAGGAGATTGGTTCCCACTGCATGAGAGCTTTGGTTGCTGTTGGTGACATCATGATGGCCACTCCCTCGGTGTGCTCATGGTTGTCCTCTGGGTGGCCGGAATAGATTACTGTCTCTCCAGTAGGTAGTTGGCACCTTCCAGTTCCGTTCCATCTGCTCTCGCAGATTCCCAACACTTCTATTCCATATCTTCTCATTTCAGTGGCTATCTGGGCAGCCTTTCCAGTTTCGTACATTGTACGAACATTCCAGGTACCCATCCTTACTTTTGCTTTCATCGAAAGAAGACACATCGGCTGACTGGCTTCCCGAAGGCTTTCACCAGCCTGCGTCATTTCACTTCCCCGATTCCAGCGAAAAGTAAGGCTATTGCTTATGTTTTTAGAATTTTTAATATATTTATTCGTTGAAGTTTCTGTAGCGATTCGGTTGAGTTTTACGGGGGTGGAGTCGCTAGCACCACGCCCCAACCCTCCCTCTTTACCCGGGCATGAGCCCGGCTAGAAATCTAATAAGCTAGTAGCCTAGCAAGCTAGTATCTGGCGAGGGAAAACCAAAGAATAAGCAGTTAAAAATATAGCATTTATGTTGAGCATACCTACTTTATTAAAACTTGTATTACCTATGACAAAATTCCACATATATTTACATTCTACCTACATATATATACGTGATTAGTGCATCCACACTCGGTTCCTCTGCTTCGATCTACGTTCCCTCCGCAAGTGCACTCGGTCTGTTAGCATATTATTAAGTGGAGTGAGCAACTGCATACTAAAAAGGACTACTTCTTCATTACAGTTCTGTACTTCTTTACTTGTGTATTTTGGGACAATTATAAATAACCAATTAACTGTATTTTGTTTGTATATTAATTTGCGAGGACTGATTTCCCCTCTATATCCACTTACGTTTGCACTTCTGTTTTCCTTTTTATTCTCGGCACCACAACACAGTAACAGTTTTTGAGACGCCAGGGTTCAAATGCAATTTAAAAAAAGTTTTGACGTTGGAAATTTGGGGAGGTATAATAAAACCTGTCCCATAAATTAATCGTATTCACAGATGCGGATGAAGAACAACCAATTACACATAACACTTTAGAATTCACCTGTCACAGGTTCGAAAATTTCATATTATATCGCGTAGGTAAGATATGTGGTCATAAAGAGATTACTCGTACTCACCAGGTAAGGAACTCAGAACAAAATCATTACCATGACGAATCAAAACAAAATGAGACGTTCTTACCAAAAATAATACAATTATTTTATAAGTGGATCATTGTAAATGTTTTGCTTAGGGTTGTTTATAGAAATTTAAATTACAAACACTGTCATATAATAATGCAATTAATCTTGTGAATTATAGGTTTGCATTTCGAAATTGAGTAAGAAAATACGTCACTCGTTTAAAAATGGGTCGTTCGATTCTCTTGTAGTTTATTAGTTTCACTGATTTATTCTCCAGAAGGTTGCTTACTTCAACAAATGCCTCCTGACAGTTAATGAAATAACATTCCAAAAGTCTTTATGAGTCTCTGGGACGATGACGTGTCAAACGTTACGAGATATATTGCATTTTCCGCTAGTAATGATATTAAGCTACTGTCCTAAGCAAATTGTCGCTTAAAACAGAACTCGATGTATAATCCGTTTTTAAAGTAGCAGTAATATTTCGGCGAAATAATTTCTTTAACTGGCACATCTGCCATTGGAAAATTGGTTATTTCATTCCCAGCTGGCAACATTTCAAGAATATCGTTACTAACACTGTTTGTTAGAGGAACAAAACCCATATTATAACACTAACCAGTGTTTTGTTTTCTCTACTTGCAGGAAGACACCCGGGAGTCAACTAACTGGACCAAGAGTTACAGGAATTGCAGAACCTAAATATTAATGAAGCTCAGTAAAACTGTTATACCCTAAAACTGTACCCCGCACTTTTCAAAAGTCATTTTCGCTGAATAAACGCTCTCCTGCACAGGTCGTGTTCTGTTTTCGTTACCTGTGTGCCTGCTGGTTTGCTTGTTACATGTTTTTTCGTTTTGACGGGATATTTTTTGTTTTTTCCTATGTTTTGGATTTTATTGGTCACGTTTTTTTGATTGTGAAAAGAGCCTCTCGTGCATTCTCACTTATTTAGTTTATTGTTTAGATGATAAAAGCATTATGTGTGGCAGTCGTCTGAGGTTGATTGATAGCCGAGTTCAGTTGCTAGTTGGCTGCTTAAAATGGCATTCATTTTGTCGAAGTGGAGTTTGTGCTCCATTAAATTTCTTAGTACGAATTAGTGTAGTATGCTGCACATACAAAAGAGCATATTCTTTAGTGTTTTTTTCATATTAGTTATCGTAATAAGCAGTAGGGTATGATTGAGACACGGTTGGTTATATCTTTGGCATAGAAAACGCACTATGTCCTTAGGTATGCGACTGTATGGGTGACTTTAAGCCGATTAGTTGCAGAAAGTGATTTATATTCCAAATTGGACGTTTATTTACATTTGCGTGAAAGCACATTGCACAAGATGTTCTCTTATAAAATGACGTGAAAGTCGCTCCTAATAATGCCGAGGAGCATCGGTTTGTTTAAGTCAGGCCAGTTTCTTTACACGTATTCACAAAGGTGACTGGAGATTAGGTTTTTTTGTGACGCGTTTATCTCACTCTTACTGTTTTGTAGTCTTCCTCGATTGAATTACTGTAGTTTCCAGTAAGAAGATTCAAGACTACTTACTACAAAAATGATGATAATAAATCTAATTAAAATAAATAATACCAACCGTAAACCTTACCCCAATCGTAGCCCTAACCTTAATCCTAACCCTAAATATAACTCTGATCCTAACCTGGATACTTACCTTGACCCTAATCCTAGCCCAAACCAGCTGTTAACGAATTGTCCCTACAGTACTTAAAAACTTGATCAAAGGCAAGTTCACACCTTGATTCCTGTATGGTATTCACATCAGCGCTATAATAATAATAGTAAGTCCTGTTATCCAACAAGCGTTCGTACCCCTGGTACTTGAGACCTTAACTCCGCTAATTCTATCACATACTTCTCCCGCTAACAACCGCTCGCTCTGTATTATACTCTATGGTGATTCAGTTTCACATGATAAGTTGTTATTGGCTCTTGCACCTTGAATTAGTCGTTGAAATATATGTCTGTGAAGATACAGTTGTATATTCACTTATACGGCCAGTAGCACTCTGTCTCTCTGTTTTTGACACAGAACTTTGCACAAATGTGCGGAAGTTCAAGTCGCCACACTCCGTGTAGCACGCGAAGCAAGAGAAGAAAGTACAAGAAAAGCATAATAGAGACAGTGAGCAGAGGTGTGAGACAAAGGAATAGTATTAACGAAGAACAAAACAGTTTCATTGGAGATCATAAGTCACAAGGAGTGGATGCATCTGCGCCACTGAGAACGATTTTGAGCCATATCACCAATTGTTTCTAACCATAGATTTTTACCGTCCCGAGGACCCCAGCCTGGAAGTCTACACCTTCCTACGTGGCTTAGACCAACTGTTGCGGATTTCATTGACTGGTGCTAGCTTCTTACCAGCCTGACCCTATATCCGCTAACATTGCTCGTCGCGGAAGGCGATGACTTGGCATACGTAACACATGTCCTAACCAACTCAGTCTTTGTAACTTCACGACTTCGTCGATTGATTTCCTCTGTTTACCTAGAACTCTACGCCTAACCTCAATGTTGCTCACCTTATTATGCTACTTTACACGGGAAATAGAGCGCAGGCACCTATGATCAAAGACAGCTAGTCTTTTCATGTCTTCCACTCTCAGTGGCCAGGTCTCACAACCATAAAGGAGGACGGAGCGGACTGATGAGCAGTACACACGCCCTTTGGTCGATAGTCGAACATCTCGTCTACGCCAGAGTCGGCGTAAACTGGCAAATGCGAAACGAGCCCCCTGTATTCGTGCTGAGATTTCGTCAGAGATCAACGCGTTGGCACTGGCTGATGGTACTTCCCAAATAAGTGAAGCGGTCAACGTGCTCTACCACTTCACTTCCTATTTTTAAACTAGGCGTCGATGTAGTCCAGTTCTGTAACATCTTGTATTTGGCTGGAGCGAATCGCATGCCAAACATTCGTAGATTGCAGCTCAAGGTGTTTAGAAGACTGCATTTCGTCAGCGTCTTCGCCTAGAAGGACTATATCGTCTGCATATTCTAAGTCAACGAGATTATTCCCTGGTAGCAAGTCAATCCCTGAGTCGCTGAAGTCACTTAGGGTCAAGTTCATTAGTACATCTACGATGAAATTGAATAGAAAAGGGGATAATGGGCATCCTTGACGGACACCACTAGTCGTCACCAGTTCCGATGACAACTTGCCGTAAGCCCTCACCTGGCTGTATGAGTACGAGTAGAGTGTCTTAATCAGTGCAATATATTTTCTCGGGATTCCCTTTACAGCCAAGCATCTCCAGAGAACTTCTCGGTCGACAGAGTCGAATGCTGCCTTTAGGTCAAGAAATATAATGACTGTTGGACGCCGGTAGGAATGACTATGTTCTAGAATCTGTCGGAGGGTGAAGATATGATCAATACACCCTCTTCCCGGTCTAAAGCCTGCCTGGCTCTCTCGTGTTTGTGCCTCCCGAGCACCACTCAATCTACGCATGATTAGCAGTAGCACTCTATCGCGGAAAGAGTTCTAGTTGTCAAACAGTATATTTGGGAATCGAAATTCCATACGTATTCTGAGAGAGTACTTTTTTATTAACGCTCAAATGTGTCATTGAAAGAAAGGAAACGTTATACAGGGCAATATTCGAATCTGGCTTCGGTATACGACAACTCAGTTTAAGCTGCTGTCCGTATGATAATTATACCTAGTTTATATGTTTCAAGCCCTTTTCATAAGTTGTGAAAAATCAATGAATTATCTATTGTTTACTATTTGTTCTCTTTCCACGACGTGCCGTCTGTGTGCAGTATTACGTATGAGACCTGAGACAATTTAAGTAAAGTTTTCATTCATCTGAGCATTTAAGAGCCTTTCGGACTATATGCAACCATAGTTGCTGCTGTACTATAATATAGAGCTATTGAGTTATTGCTAACAGTGACTCTTAAATCATTTTGTTCCTCAGCATCATGCAGTATATTGCTTAAGATATACGGCTCAGATCCATTAAGGAGCCTTTTCTGTAGTTCATTTTCAAAATCCAGCTAATTTGATCTTGAAGGTCTGACTTATCATCACTACTCTTTGTAGTGCTACCTCTTACTAACGAGGAATATCAGCCTTGTTCTCATTTCCAAACAACACATCCTCTCCCTAACAAATGAGACTAATACAACTTTCTTTATTCAGTGTAATATAGCAAAGACTGCTTTTCGTTCTTTGAGTTTTCATGGCTCACATCGGTCTTGTTTCCTGAATAATGCGTTAAATGATGAGATAATGATTTGTTTGCTTAAAAAATCCAATCTGTGCGGAATTAACGCTGGGAGTGCTGAAAGTCGTGCTACTTCAGCGGCTGTTTCACCATTGACTCATCATGCAAAAAGTCATTATTGCCGCTCTATTTTGTGCTTGGGTGGTGACAATACATTGATCTTATTCCTGTCCAGTGAGAAAAATGTCTGTATTATGACAAACTTAATGATCTGTTCACAACATCCAATCAGAGTCAAGTCAATCGATAAGTCTTATGATGAGAATAAGGTGTTTTATAACGCAGATACTCTAGTTAGTTAACCATAGAGTTCAGCGGATATCTTTATCTGATCATCTTTTTGCAAGTTTTTCATATCACTTCCAGTTGTTTTAATTTCTATCAGAGACCCTTGTTGTCATCTTGAAGGTACGAAGATGTTTTCATTTCCTGGCTCACTACTCGTTGTTTTGACAACAACTTTGCTTGTTATTGGGAAACATCTTGTTAATCTGAACAGTATGCTGCCGGCAAATCCAGAAATAAAAAGAAACAACTGCCTATTTACCATTGAAGATGGTATCTGTTCGTGACAAAACATACCACGAGCCCAATCAAATTTTACAGTACTAAGGAGACATAGCAGACGAAAATTGTTAAACTTTGAAGCTACCACAAGATACCTTCTCACACCACCTAACAACCAATTTTTTAAAATGACATAACCCGAACGGAATGTCACTTAGTCTGTCATATCCTGGGTGGATTAAAGTGCTAGTGAAGTTGAACTGACATCGAAAGTAGAAGCTACAGTTAGGTCCATAATTTAAGGTTGTTGAGATGACGATGTTTGATTCTTTTACTCTACACTCTGTTCATTTCATGATTTTACTTAATCATAAATGTAACATTTGATTTCACCTTGAGTGTTTCGCTTTTACTCTTAGACTAGCCAGTGAAATGGAAAACTTAAAAGAACTACTTGATGCGGAACAAGAGAAAGTGACCAAACTGAAGGCTCTTATAATAAAAGAGAGGAAAGTCAACACGAAAATGAAAGCAGAACTGGAACATTTAAAGTCACAACATACTGCCGATAACCAATGTAGTAGTAAATCAGTTGAAAGAGTTGATAAATCTTGCTGTACCTCTGAGTATTCTAATGCGGCAACCAGTACAAATACTACGCAGACGACAGATTTTGATGTATTGTCAGAGTTACCTTATACCTCAAATAAAGACTTTCAGGAAAAAAGACATGAAAATATTCCTACCATATATTCACCAAGCAACACACACAAGGTTCTTAATAGTATCAACAACAAAATAGTCTCTCCGTGCATGATTGAGTCTTCTTCATTTTGTGATGATAAGGTGTGTAGTACTGGCAAAAATCTACAAATGTCTTGTGTAAAACAGCTGACCATCGCCCCTGATGACGATTTTCCCACTCACTTACAAAATAGTAGTGTGGATTGTCATGGCGAACAATGCTCATCGATATTGAAACAGTTTAATCTGGCTCTAAAATCATTAAAATTACATGAGAAAAACATTTTGTCAAAAGGTGAATTGGAGTCAGTATTCGATGAATGTAAGAAGATGGTAGAGAAAAGTGATTGGTGCTCAAGTAGTATTGAGGATTTAATGGCTGATTCTCTTTCATTTAAAAGCAAAATAAATGTGTCAGAAGATCACTGTCAAGGAATTCAAGTACCTCCAAACAATCACCTCTCATCCTGCGAGAGCCGCGATATGCTATTATCTTGTCACTGTTTACACCCATCAAAAGATGCTCAAACTATTACAGATGCGGTGTGTGATGAGCTGTCAGTTTTAGAAGAAAGAGTAGATGGTCTAAAAAGTTGGGTTGAACGTGCCGAATTTTCATTGAATAACCTTTCAAACAAACTGACTTCTGCTACCTACATCAATGAAAGAAACGATACCAAATTATGTCAATTACAAGCAACTTGTTTTGGGTCTTCCGATGCATGTGAGTTACCATCCCTTCAAAATACAAAGACCGCATTGATTTATGATTCGTTTTTAGTACCACTAACGGAATACTACCAAGAAATAAGTAATAAACACTGTGAACTGGATGTTAATCACTATATATCTAATAGTTTTGAAAATGCTCACATAGACGAAAAGAATATTGAAATGTTCCTGAATAAATTGAAGCATATTATAAAACATTACTTTGAATCTAATGTAAATGCTCAAAATGGTCAACTTACTGCATCTTTAGGTGCACGTATTTCAGATGAAAACGAAAATACAGATAGTCAGCAAAATAAGTTATTTTTAGATAAAATTAAATCTATAGAATATGAATTGTCTAAAGCTAATGAAAGAGCTGCAATATCTGAAAGTGTTGTCACAGACCTTAAAGAGCAAATCCAGAATTCTGAAGAAAAGTTACATCTTATGAAAAATCTTTTGGTCAAAGCTAAATTAGATTCAGCTGAACAACAAAAGAAAATTGTAGAACTTCAAAAGTCACAGACTGTAAATGTGGAATATACTGAGGAATTAAATCTAAGTGAAGAGTTGTCTCACATTAAAAAAGTAAAAGAAAACTTGGAATCAACTGTAGCAAAGCTGAGTTCTGAACTAACCCAGCAACATGCATTGTATGAAAGTCTTCTGAACGAAAAGAGATTAACAGTTGATCGATTCCAAAAGTTGCAAACTGAGCATGCTGCATACAAAATCAAAGTAGGTATTAATAGTAATTAGTAGTTATCAATTTATTGCTAAGTATTAACCTATTTATTATTATTTTCATTGGTTTATAAGGATTAGATTTATTTTTACGAGTTGATCACGGATTGATATCACTTAGAGAACCATTGAGATTGCGTACTACCGATGATTCCCAAACTAGGATGAAACAACTATCCAGTACTCCCTGGTTTTCAGCGGTTATCTAACTGATATGAATCAGGGATCAACTCGTAAAAATTATTAATATTATTAATGTCTTGAAAATATCCATGTTGAAAGTTAGTCAGTATTGCGATACTGTTTATTTTACTGAATTCAAATTTCTCTGAAGTCTTGGTCGTGATAGAGTTTTCGCAACTAGAAGAATTTCATATGTTGCATATCAGTTTCGAAATATTGCACTTTATCAACCAAAGGTGTAAGTCTGGAGTGTCACCTCTCTTGAGTAACAACTACTATAGTGACATGTTTGGGTTTACCTATGAAGACAACCTACTCATGTCATACTGACTGATATCTTTACTGTCAAAAAGATAGGTAAATAACGGTGAAGCTCCATATAACTTTGTTGTAGTGTAAATTAGTTATAGTATTATAAGGATCTAAGAGCAAAGCCATAGCGTTAGATAAAGAGTAGAGGAACAATAATTTTATTACCATAGAGTTGTCAACATTCCCAATCTTGCTATACATCTTTTCCTAAGATGAGGAGTAAACAGTGTGCCTTTAACTTCTCTGTATAGTTCTCGACTGAAGTTACAAAAGAGGGATGTCATAAAGATCAGTGTATCTGAACTCATCCAAATTTGCTAAGGTTATATGCACATTGTAAGACTAAGTTTACACGCAAAACTTTTCGATTTTTAATTTTTTTTAAAGTTTAATGAAAGTACCGAAGACTGTATTTACAGCATGTGCAGAAAAGAATGATAGTTCTTTGTTTTATAGGTGTATTTTTTAACTGACTGCACAGTGTTCCAAAAGGTGATCTAACTATCTGTCGTAGGTCTACGCAGAAACAACTATATATATCATGATAATGTGTGATCAGTCCAGTACAAATCACACAAAGTGTAGCTGATATTGCGGAGGAGGCGAGAAGTTTACTGATGTAGACGTTGATAATAATAATAATTATTATTATTAATTGTAATTAATAGGCTTGCATATATGCACATAGTATTCAAAGCCACATTCCACCTTTGATTACACTTGCGTATATTGATGATGGAGACAGCTGTATACTCAGCTGAAGCCTTCATATATCAAATACACTATGCAGTTAGTCTGGATCAATGCATTGGGGAATATACTACTGATTGGTTGAAATGAGTAGCTGGATACTACTAACATCAACCAGTAGTGCTTGCTAGCCAGATCAAAGTCACCCAAGCACCGTAAGACTGTTTTACCAGTCTGAGACGAAGCTCATCAGCGTCGTACCCAGTGTTACTCAGATTAGAGAAACGAATCAGTCCAAACCAAAGTGCGAATTTGATTTAAAGTCTGAATAATTAAAAATTCGAATGTTGTGTACAGTTTATAAACCCATCCCACTATATTTACCAATTCAAGTGATTTAGTAATCTCAGGTACATAAGGAGGGCTATTGTCTTCGAAAGTAAGGGTTATGGTACGAATCCTAATAGTGATAATCCTTAAAATCCTTGAATGAGACAAAGAATCTGGAATAATTAATTATTTGCTTGTTAAATCATCTGGGAACATTCACAAGAAGAAAGTCTTGATATTTGTTTCAGGTGTCTAGGGATGTCCTACAACTCGGACGATAGATAAAAGTAAACGACTAGGATAAAATAAGTTGTCTCAGAGAATTTATTCCAATGCCACCACGTTTCAATTTAAAACCACTAAAATTCACATAACGAAGTTATGACGTCTGTTTAACAACCATGATGTGATATATATATATATATGTTTCGGGTCCACAAACAGTTCCTACTTCGGTTTCTACTTTATCTCAGTAACTGAAATCATTAAACTTAGCTGCTACTTAATCCTGTATCATAACACGTATAACTGTAGTATTTGTTTATTGCTATATTGGGATATTCTTTCCTATACGAAATACTGTTTTAAGCTTCACAATATTATTGCCCTACTTGTGGAAAATTTGTCAACATTTTACGTGCGTACGCTGGTTTACATGGATATGAGGTATTAAACCCTTATTCAATGATGAGTTTGTATTTAATGCGCTAGATATTTAACCATGAAGTGTAGTTACTTTTGAGTTCGTTTAACTGGTTTATACGAAAACATACTAAAGGAGTGTTTCGATTATTAAGTTGGTTTCTACACTATATCGTTATTATCAGTAATGTGTTTAAGTCAGCTTTTATTTATTCTGGAATTTTAAAAATCGTCAAAATTGATTCACTTTCTCTTTCACCATTTCATTGTTGAGGCCCAACATGCTCTTTGTAACGCACGGACTCATAAAAATGAAGTGGATTCCCTTTGCGTCAATAATAATGATAGTAGCGGTAAACAAGATGATGAAACAATTGTCAACAGTCGGTCTTCAGTTGAAAGCGAAGGATACTTTTTAACTGAACTAGAATTTGTGAAAAAAAATTTATCTGATGTACAACACCGTAAGGAAGAAGCTGAATTGCATGCATCTTTGGCACAGTCGGAATGTAACCTACTAAAAAAGGAACTAACTGATTTTAAAGCAAAGTAAGTAAATGTTTAAACAAGTATACACATTTGAACTTAATAATTTTACCACTTGGTTTTTTATTTTTATTATCATTTTGACGCTTTCCTCACTTTTACTATAGCCATATTTATTTTCAAATACGTGTAACAAGACAGACTACACCTACACCTACCTTTGAATAGCTTAATTGGGATGATGACAGAGGTGGGAATGAGAACTTGGATCATGGAACAAACATCATAGAGGATGCCGTATAAGTGCTTACACAAAGCGACCATTATAAAGCCTCCCATCTGGTATTTACTTTTATCATTAATATGTAAATGGTCCAACTGTAGCTCTTTGAAGTGTAAGGATTAATCTGAAACTGTAATAATTAGACGCCTACAGTCATCATCATATCCGTCATAGCATTCAAAGTTATCTGTCCTTGCTTTGTTTAAAATACCTAAATGAAATCAAATAGATGAAACAGGTAGCTACTGACAGTCAACATTCTTACAAAAACATACAGTTACTTGGATGCCATCAATAAAGATGGCTTCATCTTCGAGTGTAGCAGTACTTCTATTTTCTTTTGTAATAATACTGTTAATACGGATTTTGTGTTGCCCCTTTTTACATGGATTTCAGATTAGTATATGCTTTGTTCAAGTGAAACTAATTTTCTAAGAGTGCTGTCATTAAAGTACTTAACTTCTGAGTATTATCAAAATAAGAGTATTCATGTAGTGCTATTCAGCTTCATTTACCAACGGCTCATCTGGACCACATTATACGTCAATAGTGTATGATTCGTTTTTTTCTGATGTAAGCTTTCTACTTGCTAGATATTAGTCACACTTAATGTATTGGGTCTATCATAGTAGTTGATCCCAGTGTCAGTGAAACAGTGTTTAGACCGGACACTGCTTGGATGAATCTATTTGCTTAGAAAAACTCCTGACCAATAGCTGCTGCCTTGACGTGATGGTCGGGTTTGCACATCGCGTTGACCCAACAAGTTACACTGGCTGGAACCAATGTTCCTGCAGGTCCTACCATGCCAGGAAGGTTGTTAGGATAGCGATTAGACTAAAAGCAGTTACCGGCTTCGTGTAAGAATCTTTCGTACACTATGCTGGGGGTCTGAGGGCGAAGTCGTACTGCTGGGGAACAGTGTTGTAACAGCAGTGAGGTATTTCCTTCAGATGATCAACATACTGGCCAGCTATTCTGTCTTTCTGGAGAGAGGGGGTTAGAAAAGGTCGACCCCCAAAATTGTACATCCCGACTTACCCTACGGTGGTCCGTAACGGCGGTAAGTTTACTAATACGAAACCAATCCCAAAAACCAGTTCATACAGGCCGTGTGTGACCGGCCCCAAGTAGTTGTCCCCTGGGCTCTGTGGTCACGCAACACTCTGTTTCAGGTACCCGAAGAATCAATCAACTTCTACGGTGTGTGCAGCCGGAAAGTAACCACCGCCCACCCACTTCCAAAAGCACACGAAGCCTTCCTGAGTATTATTCTCCTCTGCCCACATCACCCTCATCATCTTATTCCCCTATTACAGTTAGTACTATTCTTTAGGCTAGTGAAGCATCTTCACTCCACTCTACGATCACAGACAACGGTGAGAGCCATAGAAACACCCCCGACAACCTTTTAAAGCCACGTTGACAACTTCATATAGGAGCGTTTAACGTCAGGTCCCTCTGCCAAATCGGACAACAGGCATCACTAGCAAGAACTCTGGCATCTCGAGCCATGGATGTATGCTGTGTTTCGCAGACATGCATACAAGACCCGAGTGTGGTCATTCACTTAGCCCCACTCGTTCAACAAAGTGAATCTGCAAAATTCACTTTAAGGCTGCCAGGAGACCCCTCAACTAGCTCGCGAGGACTCGCAGGTGTAGGGCGAGCACTGAGTGTTAGGGTGGAAAAATCAATTCTTGACTGGATCCCAGTAGATAGTCGTATTTGTGCGGCCCGTTAGCGGCGGTCAAACCAAAACATGGGACCAGTCAATGAAATCCACAACGGTTGGTCTAAGCCACGTAGGAAGGTGTAGACTTCCTGGTTGGGGTCCTCGGGACGGTAAAAACGAATGGTTGGAAACAATCGGTGATATGGCTCAAAATCGTTCTCAGTGGCGCAGATGCATCCACTCCCTGTGACTTATGATTTCCAATGAAGCTATATTGTTGTTCGTTATTACTATTCCTTTGTCTCACACCTCTGCTCACTGTCTCTATTATGCTTTTCTTGTACTTTCTTCTCTTGCTTTGTGTGCTACATGGAGTGTGGCTTCATCGGTACAAAGTTCTTTGTCGAAAATAGAGAAACAGACTTAGGAAAACCAGCCATTGAACAGATGGCTTTTCATGTGAATATGTGATAATTTTCTTTTTTGTACCAACAATGAAATGAAGGTCAATCCAGCATGCAAATTTAAAATTATGGCTTACTGATGTAAGTAAGCACCTGACTTTCAATCACTAGGATATTGCTTCAAACCTGCTTTATTTATTAAAGGTAAAGAGTCAGGTGCAGGACGTGTTTGACTGTAGTTCACTGGGTCTTGTATTTGAATTCTCTTCTATTCACTAAAGTTTAGAAATCTAGATGGTGTCATCAGTCCTCACACAATAGGTGTAGTTCAGTGCTAACTGCATATAAATGCCGCTGAGTAGCATTTTCGCTTTTAACCCAAAACGTATCTTTTACCGTTTAGCATACAAATCTGTACGTGGTTTTTGAGTCAGATTATTGTTTAATCTACACTAATGTACATGTTCTAAATACTATAAAACACCTAATTAAGATTTATTTAATGTAGTGAATAACAGTGGGAGTTGGGAGTCATCTAAAAGGTGATATTTCTCATCTTCATGGCACGATTTACGGCAAAGTTAAACTTTCGACACCACTAACAACCAATCAGCAAACGACCTCAAACGGACCAATCACATTAAAGAGGCATATATGATGAATGGAAATGTATATTTATAGAAAAAAGCATAAAATAGATAATAAAAAAGGTTACATCGCATATCTTTCTCGAACATGTGAGAGAAAAATCTCCCAGTTTAGCATGGGACTGTCAATTGAGAAGTTACACCATATCCTGTACATATATTCATCCAAATGACTATAAAGGAGATCCTTTTGAGATCCATTTATAGCCCTTATCCTGTTTTCCAACCTGCCCCAAAATCCTTCATTAGAATTTGTATGTGTCCTCGTAACGGAATCCACAAAATCACTTGAATGGTTGTCTCTACGATGAATATATCCCAGAGATGACAGCGAATTGTAGCCTTTTCGTGTGTATAATTGACCCCCGCTTAACAATTCTGGTAACAATAGGTATAAGAGTAGTTGCTTTTCTATCTGCTATCCTTAGGGAGAGAAGCGACCTAGCGAAAAAAGTTCCTACAAAATAATAAAATTATCAACATACCCTCTCTAGTGTTAGTAGGCTTCAAACATATAGTACAACGATGAACAAACCCATCAGTTGATTTGGTTTAGCTTTTTAAAGTCATGATACCACCACACAATCAAATTCGTTCTTTCCGGAGCAACTGAAATCTAGGAAATATCGGGAAACACTAACCTCCTCGAATTGCAACAGCAGCCTTGTAAGGTCACGGATTAGAAATGAATCAAGCGCTATACAACATTGGACATCGTTCGTGAATCTCATTGGATAATTCGCTGATTGGTAGTTAGTGGTGTCGAAAGTTTAACTTCGCCCGATTTACTTGTAGCACTCATGATATCAGCCTGGTATTTTTCTAATAACAAAGATTTATATTGTTAAATCTTTTTGCAGATATAATGAACTAATTTGTCAATCCCAAAAGCAAAAGCAAACCTTGGAAAATAAAATATTATCATTGATGCAACAGCATGAAGATCATCTGCATAACGAGCTTAAAGAGTTGGAAAAGAAGTATACGAGTCAGCTAAGTGATTATGAAGAACGTCTTATGCTGCAAACACAAAAGCATGAAAATGAGCTACGGTAAGCAGTCATATTATAGTGAAAATATCGGAAAAAATAATACAACAGTATAGCTTGCTGGCTCTTCTTTATCTGTAAAGTAATGAAAGATATATCAATTCTAAGACAATGTAAAGAAGATACGTAAAAATACTTAAACTATGCGTATTTACTATAATGTTTGGTAACTGAATAACTGGTTTTGAAGGATGAGTTTTGTATTGGTACTCAGATAAAAGTTTAGTTAACCGCTATTTGGATGCACACCTGATATTCTAAAAAAGATGAACACAAGTGCTTCTTAGCCACTTGTTTTTTACGTTAAGACTGTGATATATTTGTGTTCCCCGTTGGACTGCTGTCAGCTCAGACAATTTTTCATGTGTCCAGGTGAATGCTGACCAGACATACATAGCTATCTGAACAAGATTGCTAGAGACTATCTTCGTTGTTAGTTCTTCTGTATCGAATTCCTTAGGTGCCCGTGAATATATAAGGATGCCTTTCGTAATTGCACAGCTTCGATACTTGTGCATTGCAGTCATCTACTAAGATTAATGTCTAGTGCTTTTGCTGTTGGCCTTATACGTAACAACTTGTGAAGTGTACTTTGTCTGTACTGAGTGATCTAACTTGGATGTATTCTTATCGAAGATTGTTTATACACCTATCAAGTGGTCCCCAAATATAATGTAGGTAAAGCAGCATTCATTATTTGTCGGTATCTATTATATTTCAGTTCACTTGTTTGTTAGTTAAGTTGACATGATTTCTTTTCTTCTAGTCAAGAAAGAGAATTTTGGGAAGCAAAATTAGCCCGAATCAATCGTACAAATGAATTGTCAATGACAGATTCTAGTAAATTCGAACAAATGAGTGGTCATCGACGGAATTTTTCAATACCTGACCATTTTACAACTTCAAATGTGAGTGTTTCTGATCTCAAGTATTTCATTGGTGTATTTGTCTTCGCTATATACTGTTGTCAGAACAAGATGTCTATTGGTCATCAAATCGCGAAACAAGTAAAAATACTTCTGTACAGATAATCACCACTTACTTTACCTCTGTATTATTTATATAAACTTTTCTATCAGCCTAAGTTGTCTTACTTCTGATCATAAGAGAAGAGAAATTTACTTTTGTATTACAGGTAATATTTATAGAAAAAAGCAACACAATTGCTGCAAAGTAATTACTATCTAACTAACTTACTTTACAGGATTGGACAAGAATAGGCGTATGCAAATGGTTCTTCTCTTTCATTCTTCACCTACGTTAAAATGGTTTATCGCAGGACAGTTTTTCTAATTTCAATTATTCGGCTGTAGCAGTTACGTTCTTGTTTAGACATAATGGTTTTTGGCTATATTTGGCTTGAAAATTCACAGGCACCCGTAAGAACTTATGCCTATTTGAACATTCATTTTATCTCATATTATTATCATCAACTGAGGAAAACTACGACATTAAGACTTCCAAAATATTTTCTTCTAAGCAGTATTCAGTATTCAGTAAAACAGTTATCATAACAGTCAGGCTTAGCTTAGTAGTAGTAGTAGTCATAAATGCATTCATCGATCCCAAAGTACTGATCCGAAGACCTCTACTTATGAATCTCGTCTACTGATAATCGTTATTTTTTTTCAATATTTTTAAATTTGTAACTGACACGGTAGTTCACTTTATAACTACTGGAAAATGGCAATAATGACTTAGCCTTGGTCATGCTATAGGGTACTAACTCGGACTAAAAGGTGTGCTTCATGCTTAAGAATGTAATGTGTCAGATCCTCCCGAGGATGTGTAGCAATAAGGCCATCCTAGCTTGTGAGTGAAAGAACTTAGCACTTCGTTCACTTCACTGTGTATTAGACTGCGAACTTGGAGCTTTTACAGATTGTCTAAGAGTGATCCATCCTGAGGAACAGTACAACTGATCTTCTACCTCCAGTCAGTTACCTTTTGCTCAGTCACAGCTTAAAAGTGTGGCTAGCTGTCATAAACTGAAGTAGAGGGACAATGATATCCAATACGCTACTTCCCTAGGCAATCATGGACAGTGAGCTAATACTATTAGCTTACATGACCCACATTTTGACTAAAAGATATGTGGAAGTCAGATATGATTCTTTTTCACCAATCCCGATCAACGATTCTTTCAATCTTCAAATAAACAGCGAAACTTGTATGTAATAAACGCAGTAGAATTAGCCTCATTAATATACTTTCTAGAACCCTAGGTTAAGCAGTTTTACTATGTTAGGCAAAAATGAACAGATTAATTTCAGATATAGTTGTAGATGTAATATCTAATCACTACTGTCAAATCTCCAAGCATACATGTCCTGAAATGAGTGTTGCTTGACGAGAAGACATTTTTGGACTCCACTGATTGAGAGATTTTATGGTAGTGTATTCTACTGAAACACCACATGCTAATTATATCTGCTTAAATAAGGTTGTCTAGTGGAATGCCTCCATTTGCTATAGAGTCGATGGACTGTTTACATTTTGTGGTGTTTTAGGGAATGTTCAAAGTCTTCATTTTTATTGAATTTTGTAATGAACATTCTCATACTTCACGCCATAGAGATTATCCTTGAAGGGAATGTCGTCGTTGACTTTATAGAATGCAAGTGATTTAGTCCTGAGAAGACCATTATCGGTTATTGACGGATTAAATATTGTCGTGGAAACAGAAGGCTTTCTCAGCCTCCAATAGCTTACTAGTAGAAAAAAGTATACTCTCATCTCTACTACACTGTTGTGAAATATGACCAATAAATACAAAGAACCTTCGGAAAAGTCAAGTGACTGATTACTCCTAGTGGAGCTATGATCCGTTGAAAATTAAAATCAGAATTTTAGGTAAAATAAATAAGTCAATGAAAAAAAGGATGGACCTCAACAACTTTCCCTAAAAAGCAGCGTTAGTTGAAGTGGGGTTCGGCTCAAAAGAGATCAGCGATAGTTAGACAGAAACCTAATAACAATTTATGGTATTTACTGATTGTTGATCTGAACCAAGCAGTGAAATGTACATTATTTGGTTAGGATCCACATAGTCACTTGTCTCCAATCTTAAGTAGCACGGTTCATAATTAGCTATATGAATGCAGATATATCTATGCATTATCTTTTCCTCTTTTTTCACAACACTATTCAACCTCTGATTTTATTACTTTCATTTCTTTTTCCCAACTTTTTACATCTAATTGATGTGCAGATATGTTGTGACACTTTTGACTATGAGAAAGTCATGCTTAGTTCTTTAATGGTGCTACTAACATGTGTATAATCTAATTTCTGTGTTTCAGGTAAATTTAAATTACAGAAGAGATCAAGGAGACGGAGCAGACAATACAAATGACGAAACTCAAACAACACCTGATCAAACAGCTAACAATTATTCTTTGAGTCGCAGTGGAAGTGAAACTAATTCACTGATTGATGCTGACTCCTATAAAACACCACCTCAAGTAAGTTGTTCATCGTGAAACGTTGATACCTTTCAAGCATACTATTTCATTTGGTTAAACAGTGTATTTTAATTAGTTCTTTGAAGATGTAAGAACAGTTGGATATGGAAAATATGCTTGTAAAATATTTGTATCAGTTGGTAAGTCTTGGAAGTGAGGGAAAGTCGTGAAGATATCCAGCCAACAAAAGCATCACTAATCACTATCATTGAGAGAATTCTAAAGAAGTTATCTCTTTCATTTACCTAGGCAGAATTGTTTCAACTATAGGCAGAAGAGATGAGGATGTCAAAGCCAACCTCGATCGAAGAAGTAAGATAGATCAGCGTTACTCTGAAATCAGTGCGGAAAACTGCTGTATTCACTATGAGGGAAGAAATTCGGATCTTCAACACCAATGTTAAGTCAGTCAGTCCTTCTGTATGGGTCAGAAACTCGATCTGTGTGTCACAAAAAGCTTTTCCAACAGGTTGTAGACTTTTATAAACAGCTGCCTTCGCTTTATGCTAAAGAGCAGATGGCTAGAAAGAATTAGCAACAAGAAATCCTGGAACCAACCAGCCAAGAACCTGTTGTTCAACGAATATCCTGAAAAAAATGGAGATGGATTGGATGCCCACTGAGAAGACCGATGAGTGAGATCGTGCATTAGCTAAACCATAGCTGGAGTGGAACCCGAATAGGAAACGACTAGTTGGGCTTGGGTCCGAGGATGACATGAAAATTCCACTCCGTATCACAAGTACTGTTTTGGGAATAAAGTAAACCATTATTATTAAAAAAAATATTGTGAAACGGAGATAAGAGGTCATGAGCGATCGTGGAGCCAGTTAAAAAGGACTGCAGAGAACAGCGTGAAATAGAGATGTACTGCTGAAGCCCTATTTTCCATTTGGAATCCAAAGGAATGACAATAAATTACGTGTGCCACTAAGTAAACTGAGCTCGAAACGTCATCCGGTTATTAATACTGTATCACTGTGTGCTATATTAAATAAACTTACTTAGTTAAAATGTACTATTTCACACCTTTTAATTTCATAACCTCATTACGGAAATATCTTTTCATAGTAGTAATTGATGTTCTCTGCTAACTAGTCTTCGATTTCATGGGGAAGCTTGTATTTCAGGGATATGTTATCACTTGTTTCGTATTGATCAACTGAACAGTAAAATCTATTTTAAATATCAATCTATTTATATCCTCTACCTTCAAGCATCATGTCTCACAATCATTACTTAGAACAATGCAAACTATTGCGCGGTATACACACAGTCTGAAGGGTCGCCGAATATAATGCTTGCACCAGATATGACGTAAGTTGGGAAAGGACAAATAAGATCTATATATCCTTGCTAGGATTTCGTCAAGAATCAAACAAGTAGGACTAATTCAACTCCCGTTAGACGAGAAGTTAGTGTATACCAATTCTTTGGTATCATCTTACATTTGATAGAGACGAATAGCACATCAAACATTCTGTCTTTTCTCAGGTCGCTTGCTCTAAATTAAAGAAACCTTCCCGTGGATGCCCTAGATGCTAACCAGTCTCTAAAACGTCGAATTTGACTAGGATACTTATTGAAATTTAAAAAGAATGGTGGTAGTGGTCATCATTGAAAGATACAGTAGTTGTCAACGATTCGGAGGACAACTCATTTTGAAACAATAGACTGATTAATGTATGTGTAAAACATAGACACTATAGTATTATCTGTCTGTATGTTTTCGACATAGAACTTTGCACAAATGTGCGGAAGTTCAAGTCGCCACACTCCGTGTAGCACGCGAAGCAAGAGAAGAAAGTACAAGAAAAGCATAATAGAGACAGTGATCAGAGGTATGAGACAAAGGAATAGTATTAACGAAGAACAAAACAGTTTCATTGGAGATCATAAGTCACAAGGAGTGGATGCATCTGCGCCACTGAGAACGATTTTGAGCCATATCACCAATTGTTTCTAACCATAGATTTTTACCGTCCCGAGGACCCCAGCCTGGAAGTCTACACCTTCCTACGTGGCTTAGACCAACTGTTGCGGATTTCATTGACTGGTGCTAGCTTTTTTCCAGCCTGACCCTATATCCGCTAACATTGCTCGTCGCGGAAGGCGATGACTTGGCATACGTAACACATGTCCTAACCATCTCAGTCTTTGTAACTTCACGACTTCGTCGATTGATTTCCCCAGTTTACCTAGCACTCGACGCCTAACTTCAATGTTGCTCACCTTATTATGCTACTTTACACGGGAAATAGAGCGCAGGCACCTATGATCAAAGACTATAGTATTATATGATTCCACATCAATTTGTTTTTTGTATGTCATACAGTGGAACATTGTTATTTACGGGATAATAAATTACGTTCGAAACATCATCTAGAAAATAATACTGTTTCATTCTGTGGTATACCCAATAAACAAGTTGATATGGAAAAGAAGACTATCTGGTTCAATCGGGTTTGTTTTTCTTGAACAGCACTTAGTCTTCACAGGACTATGAAAACTAGAATCTCAAATATTGTGCTAGTCATACTGATACCGCTGTAAATACCACTGTTTCCTTTCTTACAAACTGATATGGTCAGCAATATACCCCAGCCCCTCAAATTCCCATATATCAACTAACAGTTACCTCAGTTATTCAGGTTAATATTTCATCGTCTTCATTCGGGAACATTTTTGAAGTCGAACTGCCATGTCCTGCTATTTTTCTCTTTTCAAGTTCTAAATCGGTTCTACTACCTCTACCACACTTGTAGCACCAAATATATACCGCGTATTCTTATTTTTAGTATTCTGCCGCAACAGAATAGCAATAGTTTGCACTTTTTCTATCGGAGAAATGATGCGGTACCGATGGAAATCGCTATCCATTCTTATTCTTTTGATTAGTCCAACAGAGAGCCTTTTGCATCAAAACTTACTGTTCTGTCTTCAAAAACATGTTCATAAGAACTTTCTGTAAAACCTCTGGTATTTGTATGGTTTATTTTGCTAAATCACCATGTTCGCTAATTGGAGTAAAGTAAATAGTGGCGTCTGGGTCGAGTTTGCATGTTTCATCCATAACCCCAGCTGCTGACGTTTGTTGTATAATTTGGCATAGAATTCAGTCGTTGAAGATTTTAATACGACGTTAGCAGAGCTGTTTTAAGTTACTGAGAATGGTATTTTCTGTAGTGACCTACTGAAATCGATAAAAGAACATGAAGAAATTTTTTGAAACATTAATGGCCGAGAAACGAGGTGATAAGGTTTTAATGAAGGAAGAAAATGGAGAGGGTAAGTGATAAAAGGAAAAACTTCACATACTGATAGAAAAAGTGTTAATAGCATTCAGCCTCCTATACCGTGAGTATTGATATTTTCTTGAAACTAGGCTCAAACTTCTAGCTATTTTCATTCAACCGGTTCCCTTTATTAGTTTGAAGAGAGAAAGAACGAACATGTTTGCACGATAATACGAGCTCGTTTTATTTCGTGGGTACTCATCAACTGCATACATCCTAAACAAAATCAAATTATAAGTTTCAAAAAAGTTTTGGAACATACTTTTTCATAACTCCAAGTAATTATGAAAAAGTATGTTCCAAAACTTTTTTGAAACTTATAATTTGATTTTGTTTAGGATGTATGCAGTTGATGAGTATCCACGAAATAAAACGAGCTCGTATTATCGTGCAAACATGTTCGTTCTTTCTTCTAGCTATTTTTTTGGATGCCACCCTACCTTTCAACATTTAGGCAGTCATGTAACTTCGCCAACCCTCGCACAGTAGGTGCAGTCTATCTTCAAGTTGGTGAGAATTCACGTAGCTACTGAGCAACATCGTGGTGTTGACTGGTTATGTTAAGTTATTTAGCATAACATAACATTGATTTCTCCTTCAATAATTCGTCAGATTACTATACCTACTTTGGAGCAACTTTTGAATCGACCTAATCAATATTCATCGTTTGAAAATTCGTATTCTCCCCAAAATCAAACGAAATCTTTTCGAGAAGTTAGAAGTGTTCAGCTGAATCAGTTAACTGGTCTACAGTCTACTTTAGCGAGTCAACAACGTCGAGTTGAATGTCTTTCTGAAATGTTGAGTGAGAGCGAGACAAACTTGGCGCGCCTGTTTGCACAAAATAAAGTAAGTGTTACAATTATTGCTAAAGTGGTTGATTCTATCGCCATGTATGAAAGAAATAAAATTTTCATTTAGTTTTGGTAATTATTCACTATCTTCAATTATTCAATGATTCTGGCAACTGGTTTTCACAAGGCACTTACTATTGATAGCATAGTAAATACCAAAATATTTGTTCCTCCACCGAATATATCTGCATAACAATATTTTTTCCAATCCAAAGTTAGGTCTATTGTTGTTTATTCTTATAGTAGATCTTAAGTACTACGCTTGGGAGGTAACATAGAAATCCACGCACTTGGCGGTGAACCACAACTATTCTGTTAGAACTACTTTTGCTAACTGCGTACTCAAATCTCTGTAGGTGAAGCATAGTTGGCCTAACGTCTAGTACTGGAAAAAAAAAGTGATCCAGGTAGTATGGCGGTGCCATATCATCGCGCTTAGTGACCACATAGTATGCATGACCAGTAGATTTCAGTCAATACAGTCAGAATAAGACAAGTGCATTGATTGCCCTCAGACAATTAGTTTGTATTCTTTCATTTAATGCTCAGATATAACGTGAATCAATAGTTCTCCAGTATTACTAACATTTATGTTGCAGATATCTTTTAATCTTTTTCTGTAAAATTGTCTTTCACTAGGCATGCTAGTACATCAATCCTATGATCCCCAATTGGAGAAAGGATGCATTCAAGATTCTAGTGTCACTCATCACATAAATAATGTGGATAACGCCCTGATATTAAACTGATAAGTACCTTAAGTTGTATTTTTGTTAGCTACTGAGGTATTAAAAAATCAGAAGTCTGTATAATATTTTTAAAATATCTATAGAAAATGATTGTATCGCTGTGTACTATCTAATCAGTGTAGATCCACTCCAAACATAAGACTAATCGTGTAAAACGACAACGTGTTGTTCGGCAAATATAAACTTACTCTTTATTTGATTTTTGTTTATTCAACTCAGCTATTGAAAGAAGAAGTTCGACGTCTTGAAACCAACCGCAACTGTTCAATAAAGTTACAAGAAGCAGATAATCAAGATACCGACCAGTTAAACAGTTCTGTTAACAATAACAACAACAGTCACAGAAATAATATTCCTTTAGAGCATTTGAAAAATATCTTACTGAAGATTATAACTCTGTCGAAACAATCCTCAGAACGTAGTCATCTTATGCATGCATTAGTTATGTTCCTTTCATTAAAATCAGATGAATGTAAGCTATTGGAAGAAGGCTTAAATGAAAATGTTAAGTGTTCCAGTCACTCCACATATGATCAGTATCAGAGCACTACCAGTTGGAGTAGTTATATCAGTACAGTTTGGCGCAAGTGAAAACGAAAAACCAGTTCATCTATACTTACAATTAAAAAATAAATTTTACTTTATGTGATCTGTATGTCAAATATTTTAATCTTTCTGATTATGTTTTACATTTTTTTTTAACTGACAATTAGCAACCAAATGATTTTTAAACGCCATGTTGTGTTGTTTAACTTTGCTATTCTTCTTGTTGTCTTTCAGTTGCATTCCGTTTATTTATTCTAGAGTTCTACATAAATCTGTAAGGTTATTTTGTATGATAAGAGAAAGAGGTTTCTTTTTGTCTTCTACACACATATTTCATTTCTGCTATTTTGGATAATTTTTTTTCTTGACACGTGTGTATTTGGATCTCAATATTTTACGAATTTTAATTCAGTTAAACGGATATATACATACATAATGTGGAATAATGTTGCTTTTGTAAATGTGTTAACTCAAAATTTAATCTTTTTTAAGTTGTGATAATGAATAAAGTAGAAGTCTCATCACCTTTTAACGCATACCGTTTCAAAGAATGTGAAATAAAGTGAATATCGATAAAGAAAGAGACAAGATTTGCAGTATAAAATGATGCCATTTTATTTCACAGGTTTTCATCAACTGCAAAATACCTGAAATTAAAATGGTTATTAATAATGTTTTAAACTCTCTGAGCAAATTTTCACTTTTATGAACTATATATTTTACGCTGCTGTGTGAACCTGAAATCTAATAATGTTAACTACATTTTCCTGTTTTCCCCTACCACTTACTTTTGTATTTCGGACGCATTTAAATTGATGGTAAATTAACCTAAAAATATAATGTTTACATTGGGGATGTTTTCTCTACTACTATTCAGATATTGAAGTAGGATATTGTCGTTATTTACAACCATTGTAATTTCAGGTAGTTTGCAGCTGATGGGGATCTGTGGAATAGAATGATATCATTTTATGCTGCAAATTTGGTCTTTCTTTCATTATCGAAATTTCCCAAGGAAAACAAATGTATAAAGTGAATGACGCTAGATACTAGAAAGAGAGACAATAAAATGGAATAGGGAAGCATAACAACAGTCAGCAGACCAAAAAATTACATCAGTATGTTTTTCTCGTTTCCAGTTAAAAACCAGTACAGTCTGTCTGGATTCAACATAGAACTTGGCACCGAAGTGCAGCAGTTCGAGTTGCCACGTTCCAAATAGCACACAGAGGTAGACAAGAAGATGAGTGAAGAGAATTAATAGAGTTTGACAAATATAAGAGTGAAACAGAATGGGTAATGGTAGAAAGAAATATGAAAGATTACAGAGACTGAATACATCTACGCTAGTCATTGACAACGATTTTGAGCCATGTCACCTATGGTCTCCAGTCATTGATTCCTAGAGTCCCGAGGGCCCCAACCCGGAAGTCTGCATCTCCCTACCTTACTGTTTGTAGTTGTCTATAGAAATCTTACTTCTTTTCTTGTTCCGCGTTGTTTGTAGCACTGTGTGTAGCATTGCATGAAAATTGTCACCTTCTTCCTTCGGAGTTGAATCCTGCTGTCATGATCACATGGGAGGAGATTGGCTCCCACTGCATTAGTACTTTGGCTGCCACTGGTGACATGATGGTAGCCACTCACTGCCTCAGTGTGTTCGTGGTTGTCGCCCGGGTGCCCAGACCGGAGTAGATTACTGACTCTCCAATTGACAATGTCGTCAATCCACATCCATTCCATCTGCTTTCGCAGATACCCACCACTTCTATACCACATCTTCTCATCTCTTTGGTTACTTTGGAAGCCTTATCAGCCAGTCTTCTACATTCTACGGAAATTCCACGTCCCCATTCTTACTCTTGATTTCCTTGAGAGAAGATACATCGGCTTTCTGAGTGGATTCGCGAAGGCTTTCACCAGCCTGCTGTGTCATTTCGCCTCTCCGATTCGATCGAAAAATAGGATTGTTGTTGTTGTTTCAAGTCTTTGTGTTTATGATATATTTTCTGTGTGTTGAAGTTTCTGTAATGGTTTCAAGGATTTAGTGGTGTTGGGTTGCTTACCCCACGCCCAACTCTGCCTCTTCACCCAGGCTTGGAATCGGCTAGAAAACTAGCGATCTAGTTAACTAGGCGAGGTAACAAATGTCCATATTACATCCTAATAAAATGCCTGTCAGTTGTTCTGAGTTTCGAGCTGAAAAATAATATTGGCGACTTACGATAAGTCGGAGGAAGCAGCATTCCCATACCATTTCTTTCGAACTCAAGGCACTCAGTATTTTGAGAAATCGCATTGTAAAACATCTTTTCGTATTTGATAAACTAAAATATCCATTGCAGGCGTATTAGGCAGAAATACGTTATTTCCTGTTGAAAGGAGTTCAAAATATAACGTTTCAGTCTGTTGCAGACTACCGTGGTTTGTTAATAAACACCAGGTTGTATTCCTTTCTGATACATTATCTCATAGAAAGAAAAAGGAAATGTTACTCAACGACGATTAACATTTCCATACTATGGCCGATGCTAATACTTGGCCACTGAGGCTTAGTTAGGGATGACGAAGTAGGTTTCGCATCCTTGACTCAGTAGTTAGTTGTCAAGCGCCTCGACAATCGAACCACGACTTCACTTCAATAGGGGTCGGATACCACACAGTGTTGGACATTTGAATTGTTGCTGATTAGTCTTGAAGAAATTGTGGTGAAAGTTTGTCTCGGTGTGAGATAGATAAGTATATGTTGTTATTTCCTTTGGTTCCGGGAAACATCTCCATTTCACCTACTTCTCTGCGTTCCATTTTAGCTGCCGATACGATTCTTTTATCAGCCTCCATCTCCTCGCACTTAGCACCCAGCTCGTTGTTTTCTGTTCGGGTTCCCCTTTACCACTTGATGTGTGATGTCTCTCAGCAGTCTTCTTACTGTGTATCCAATCCATCTCCATTTCTTCAAATTATTTGTTGAATAATAGGTTCTAGCTTGGTTCACAGAGTTCCTGATAGCGTCATCATATAGGTGCAAAATGAAGTTGATGAAGGTTTTGGGGCGCTACTTAGAATGTAAGTAGTTTCCAAGTTACTTTCCGTCAGCGCTGCCGAGGGCACCTTGAAAGTGTTTGAAGTTGAAATAGAGATTCGTATGCCACTCCATGCTCTATTTGGTGATGCGTATCGTTGCGATGTGATCCGCACATAATTTGCTTTCCCTATCCCCACCTTTTAACCAGCTGATTTTCGCATCCAAATCGTCTCTTAGTCTCTCTAGGATAACATGAGCTAATATTTTGCTTGATGGGGAGGAGAACAAAACTTCTCTCCAGTCATTGTGAAGGCCTAAATCACCCTTCTTTGGCAGTTTGACAAGCTATCTCTTCCTCCAATCTTCAAGTACGTTCCCATGCTTCTAAAATTTACGATGGTGATGGTAGTATGAAGAGATCCGCTGAGCTATATGGACCCGTTTACAGAGTTTCTGTTAAAGCGTCGATTTCCCACCTGCTTGAGACGTGACTTTCTGTTCAAGTGTTCTCAGGTCACTCTCACTTGTGTCCTGTTCTGATTCAGTCGCCAGTTAGTGTGTCGAAGGATTGTCTTTTGTCCCACCTAGTACTCTGCCTCACTTATATATTCAGTGCGATGTACATCGAACCCAACTTCTCCTTTCTCTGTCGCTCTTTGGATTGGTTTATCTTGTGTTTCAGCATCCCTCTCTCCTCTCTTCTATTAGCTTCCATGTGCCCGTAGAGCCATTTCTTGTCCTGCCTGTTCTTTCTTCTTAAGCCAGGTATTCAGGTTTCCTTCAACATCTCTTTCACTATCCCTGTCTACTGTCTCTACTTTGCATTTCTTCTACTTTATTCTCTGGCTTTGTGTGCTACATAGAGTGTGGCGACTTGAAATGCACATCGGTGCAAAGTTCTTTGTTGGAAACAGATAGACATCACTCACAGAGTTCCAGTGTTCTTCCACACAGTTTTTCTCAATGTTTCTGCATAATGTCTCTGACTCCGATTCGATGAATGCAGTGAAAACATCTCTCGGTTTCTGGGTGTTGAACCGGAATTGTGGTCTATCCACAGCTTCTTTGTAGGCTTTCAACTTCACTTTGACGGTCGCTTGCAGTTGAGAATGGTCTGAGGCCACGTCTACTCGCCTTCTCGATGTTATGTCCAGATGGCTGAGCATTCATTTTCTTGAGACTGAGATGAAGTCTCTCTGGCGTTTGGTGTATGGGTCAGGTAAGATCTATGTCGCCTTGTGTTTATCCTTAGCTACTGCAAATAGATGCTGTGTAAGCCAGGTGTAGTATATTGAAAGGAGGATTCAATTGTGGATCCTTTTCGGTGTTCAGGAACACCTTGGTGTTGTTATAATTCTCTGTATTGAGCAATTTGGCATCACTTCTGAAATATTTCGTAATCTTCCTATTACGGGATGGTTGCTGTTATTCTGAAAACAGTCTCCACCGCTATATGTAAATCTTGTCACATTTTGAAGTTAGAAGTGACAATCAGGGAGTGGAACAACCGCTTTATACCTATTTGTGCTTCCGTTAAGCATGATAACCCACATTTCTCCCACTTTAGGTAATGCATGCCACAGCAAACCACTTACCACAGGACCCAAAACCGTAAATCAGAAAATCTGTCTGAAAACAACTCATTAAGCAGGTGCGAGATCATGTTTTGTACGAATGGAAATGCATTTCAGCAAGATAATAGTTAGTAAACTGTTGTTCGAAGTCTTTTGAATTATCATGGTAGTAATTAATAACTTAGACCAATTTCTACGCATACCCTCACCTAGATGTCTACAAACCATTTCTTTTGGAACACATTTGTCTCTCGAATCATCTCCAAACTCATTAGTTTAAATCAGTGTTTAGTTCTTCGGAAAATGGGTCATAATCCTAATTGGAAAAACAGTAGGATTCAGCTGCGATTGTAGTTTGTGAATAGTATAGGCGTTAAAAGAAGAATAATCTGAGTGGTCACTGAAAATTATTTGGTAGGTGCTATTCTTCGTGTTCGCCCACTAAT